TATATTGTCCAACGCAAACAAAAAATAAGTTCGACCCAAAAATTGATTTCATCGAATATAGCTTGACTTGAAATTGGTCACGCTGTTCTATGCGCAAAAATGGTGTGGTAAGATGAACGGATTGCGCAATCCTAAGATTACTATCAAAACTAGATGTTACCTTAAGAGGTACCGACGCAACGTAGAGTTATTTTGGTATAACAAATTACTAGGTGAATAAAAACTCGAAAACTCTTGCTGGCACAATGTTCGAGGAACCTCCTCCTTGCCTCGCCACGAAGAGATCTCACCGGCGTTCCTCCCTCCCTCCCGTGTAAGCATCTCTTTCTTCTTCCTTTTTCGGATCAAGTCTCGACGGATCCGAAGAACAATCTCTACCTTCTGTCGACCATCATTTGTTGGCGAGATTTTCCGGGCAATTTGCCTTGTTATTCTTCTCCACCTTCCGTCGTTCTTATATGGACTACGAAGAGACCTTTGCATACTCCGTCCTAACCGTTTATCGACCAAATCTGTGTTGGGCTGATCAGATCTTCTCTTCCTCTCAATCGCCGATGGTGACTCCTCCGGAGCTGCAAGAGAGCCACCAACCGCCGGAGCCTTCGGATCCACCTCTCTCGTTGCGCCTTGCCTCCAGCCCTTGGTTCTCTCCGCCTGTGGTCAAATAGATCGAGCTGTAAGGGAAACAAAGTTATCTTCTTTCGTGGAAGATGTGCCTCAATAGAAGCTTTGGCGATGGTCCTACCACTCTCCGCCATGACCGAAACCTTGCTACAATCCGTCACGGAGGATACGTCTCTCTTTCCTATCGTTTCCCCTTCAACACGAGAAGGCTAAAGTTTGGGCCTGGTCCATTTCGCGACTTAGGCCTCTTAACCCATCAACCTTATCCTAAGCCTAGATCACGTTCTAATGACTTTATTATGTTTACTGGGTTTAAGACAACATCGTTGGCTTTATCAAGGAAATCTTCTGAGCCATATACCTTTTTTTTTGTGAGAAGATCAAAGTTTTCTACATTCTCAAATCCTGTAGTTTGTGAGCATGATATTTTTTCTATTAAGAGAATCAAAGTTTTCTGAATTCTCAAATCTTGTACTTTAATCCCTGTGGGAGAGAAATTTCCCACATTTTCTTCTGTTTTTGAGAGTAAGATTCTTCTCGGAATCAAAACCGAGCAATTCCCTAATCATTGTATTCTTGTGTAGATGCAACCGGCTTGGGTAGTCTTTCAACGTCACGATTCAAAGTGACCAAATATGTGATTTTTGGCTTAGTCGTTATCCTTATACCGTTGCATCAAGAAGTTTTCATTGATTCGTTGTCGTATAATTATTATGTATCTTATGCTTTAATCTTGAATATTTTTATTTATTGTGGTATGAATCGATGTAATCCCGAAAGTTAAATTAATGAAAACAAAGTGATGCATACAAAAAAAATTACTAGGAGATCGTGGATACTGTAGAATCTACTCAATGTAGATTTTGCTGTCAATATTGTATGGTAGTGTTATCACAGTGCGTACAATAGAAATGTACCAAGTGATAAATCTATTATGTCAATGTAATTATGTGTCACTAATCTGACATTAAACATACTATAAATAATTCATTAATTATTAAAGTATCACCGGCCGTCGCCGAAGGTTGTAGTAATTTGTAAGTATCCGTTCCATGTCGGTTGTAAAGATCCAATAATTGTTTTTGAAAGTTTCGCGGTGAAGCAAATGTTAATGTAAAAGGGAAAAAAAAATTGTTCTTTTCTGTTTGAAAAAAAAATTGTTCTTTTCTGTTTGATCTTTAATGACCTAAACTTTATGACATACGAGTTCAAAGTTTTTTTTTTTTTTTTAACCGTAGACATCCAAAAGCTTGATAGGTCCAAAGGCTAATCCCACGAAGATTTGCATTTGGATACGCGTTCGGAAATATTTCAAATTTAAAGCGCGGCTAAGTGGTGAAGAGAATTCGAACCCAAGACTCTCCCACTTAGAAGTTACCACCGAAGTTGCGAGTTCAAAGTCTTCCACATACATTTTGGATATAGAGTCAGATAATAACGAGGAAAATTAAAATTAAATCGAATATAATAATCATACCTATAAGTATACCATTGAAGAATTTTTGCCAAATTTTTCACTTTGCGCTAAATTTCCTTTTCGTAATAAACAACCAACGTAACAACGAAAGTTCAGTCCTAGATTTACGAAAAAAGGAAAAAACGCATATAAATAGATAATTAATATGGAGTAATATTATATTTATATATAAAGAGTTTTATTGGTGTCTAATATTTAATGGATTTTTAATTATACAGGTGTACAATTCCGGAAGGTCCGGTTTCGTTTCCAGTTTTTCTATATAAACTCCATTGAGAACATCGACTGATTACACAAAAATCGTTCTCAAACATTACTACCTTAAAAGAAAAAAAATAATACAACCATCGAATCAAAATTTGACAAAAATGGCACCAGCTCAAAATCCAATCAGTTCGAAACACGTGGCAGTGATCGGAGCCGGAGCAGCCGGTCTCGCAGCGGCCAGGGAGCTCCATCGTGAAGGCCACTCCGTTGTAGTCTTTGACCGGGAAAAGCAAGTGGGAGGTCTCTGGATTTACTCACCTAAAGCCGAATCTGACCCGATTAGCCTCGACCCGACCCGATCCATAGTCCACTCAAGCGTCTACGAGTCTCTCCGAACCAACCTTCCTAGAGAATGTATGGGTTTCAGGGACTTCCCGTTCGTGCCACGTGATGACGTGTCAAGAGACCCGAGACGGTATCCGAGCCATAGGGAAGTTCTTGCTTATCTTGAAGACTTTGCTAGAGAGTTTGAAATAGAAGAGATGGTCCGGTTCGAGACCGAGGTGGTTCGGGTTGAACCGGTTAACGGAAAATGGTGTATCCGGTCTAAAAACTCCGGCGGTTTCTCCGACGATGAGATCTTTGACGCCGTCGTCGTTTGCAGTGGTCACTATGCAGAGCCTAACCTTGCTCATATTCCTGGTAAAAATCAATTACTATACATACTTTTCTAGTTTTGATAGATTTTTGTTTTGAATTCTTACATATTTCTGCTAATTACCAGATCTTTTACTGATTTCTATATTAATTTCGTTTTTCTCACTTTTGAAATTTTTTTTTGAAGTTTTTCATGTACTCCGAGTTCAAACCCTTTGTAATTAATCTTTAAACCATATTATCTAAAAACTGACTCCAACTACCGATAAGATTAAGTTCCAAAACTTCGGAATTCAAAAAAAAAAAAAAGTTTTAAAATTAATTTGAAATCACATAATTACTAGTTTTTCTTCTTTTTTTTTTGTCAAGAAAATACAAATTTTTCTTTTAACATATAAAACAACTATAGTACAAATCACTAAACTTCAATAAAAAGATGACTTCAATAAAAAGATGAGATAAAGTCAACTGTTTGAAATGGATACGTACACTTACTAATTGACTTTAAAATAAATCCGATAGAATTTTTTTTTGTGAAATTCGTTTGATATGATTCCGACCAGCGTTTATTCATATAAAACTACAGGTTCTCGAAATCGACATAGATTTTGTTCCAAAGAAAAAACAATTTATCAAATTGTATTTGGTTTTAATTTTATAGGAATAGAGACATGGCCTGGGAAGCAAATTCATAGCCATAATTATCGACTTCCTGAACCATTCAAAGACGAGGTAACTCTAAATTTCTTTGATTTGTTTTTCTACTTTGTTTTCGATTTTCAATCAATGTCAACTCGAAATGATTAATGGTCTAAATTTTGATTTGTAGTCTTCAATATTTTCTACAAAAATTAATTCTTGAAACTAACCTACCGTGTGGACCAAGTCTCAATTGTTATAGAAAACAAACGTTTGCTTTCTAAGTGGAGCCCGATACACAACATAATAAGAAAATAACGATTGTAAAACACGTAATTGGTCGACAAGGAAAAACAAAACACGTAAGGTTGTTTTGTCAACACAGTGAAATTAGGTTTGATTGGTTGGACAACTATTTTATAGCAACTAATTTAACATACAGCCGAACCATTCATCCACTAAGACTTCATTTTAGATCCGTAAGTCTGTAACATATGTTAATTTTGATAAAAACAAATTATTTATTGTAGAGTTTTTTTTTTTTTGGAAAATTTATTTATTGTAGAGTTGTTAAACAAAATATTGTTAAGGAAAATGGAAGAGACGTGTTTGAGAGAAGAAACGTATAACATCGGAAATAGGAGAGTTATTGATGGTGACATTCTTGTTACATTTTTTGATACTAAAATATTTTTTGTCTTGAATAAACCCAATTGAATGTCAACCACCAAACTTATCAGCAAGCTTTATACTAATATATCTAAATTTATTTCTATTAATAAACAAAAATGCAGATCTTTTGGAGAGGTTTTTATTTTTTGCTAAAAATCTTTTGGAGAGTTTGTAGTTTTTATCCATAACTGAAGAATATAATCGCATATACACTTCTATTTTAATACCCAAAAAAGTTGTACGAGGTAGTTAATCAAGTTATATGAAGTTATATTTTTTGAAGAGATACTATAAAAGATAAGTTATATACAGAAAATAAAAATGCGAATTGTATCACGGGTTGGGTAAATTAAATGAACCAAACTAACCAACCGAGCTCGACCTGAATCAAACCAAATCAAAATATATACACAAACCATTGGTTGGGTTTATTCTCAACCCGAATGGTTCGGTTCGGTTGAAAACA